GATTAGCCTGTGCTAGCTGTGAGAGGTGGCACAGAGGTTGTGAAATGGGTACCATTTGGTGTGGCAAGGCTGTGCTTCCTAAGAGCTCAATGGGTGCCATAGAGGCCAACTGGGCCTGGAGGTTTGCAGCTCTGTTCACTCATACAGACGTCCTGGCAGCTGAGGGGCATTGGCAACAAGAGTCTTGTACAGGGGAGCCAAGGCAGACAGTCTGGGGGAGGTATTGTCAAGGTTGTTGCAGAGTACAACCAGGTCAAGGAACAGCTAGTATGTCCCTGAATTACTTATAAAATCCCCAAGAAAGCAGATGTTCAGAGGTCGCTGGAGTGGAGAGGGGTTACCGTAACTCTGCCCAACTGTGGGGACTTGAAATGTCCTCCACAGACTTAAGGTTTGAACTCTTTTCCCCGGGTGGTAGCACTGTTTTGTCAGATTATGGACCCTTTAGCTGGAAGGACGTGACTGGTGGAAGTAGGTGTGACTTTAAAGGTGACCGTGGGACCCTAGCTCTGCGTGCTTCAGGGACAGACCATAGTGATGCCCCTAACCCTCACTCCTGCTGCTATGAATGCTACTGTGCCTCTCCTGTAACAGCCCTGGGTGTATAGTCAAAGGGATCAAAGTCAGCACACTGGAATGACCAATTCTCCTTCTTTTCTGCGTCATTTAGACAGCTAAGACATGTAACTGGCTTAGACGACACCAACAGAAAAACAAAGAAAGTGTGAATACACACACACCTACCCAAACATACATACACAATGGTGGTTTGTACGGCCCTACAAAGAATGAAATTCTGCCATTTGCAGGAAAATGGATGGAGCTGGAGATCATGTGGCGACCCAGGAAAAACAAGCAATCACATGTTTCCTTTCTTATGTGGAATGTAGATTAACCAGGGGACCAGGAACTCTGGACAAGATTGTGTCCTCTAGATATGCCAAGGAAGCCACACCCATGACATCTCAACCATGTGGCTGCCTAAACAAGACCTGAACAATGCAAAACCAGTTGACATGCCAACGCAGATGGGAGAGATCTCACAGGGTGAGAAATCTCCACTCCTGGATGAAGAAATAAAGTCAGTTAATAACTGGACACACACACACACACACACACACACACACACACACACACACACACACACACACACACACAGAGAGAGAGAGAGAGAGAGAGAGAGAATGAGTTAGTGCTCCTCAGGGATTCAGCCATCTAAATGGTTATCCAATACCAAGTGGTCAGCCCTTAAAGCATATACACATAAGCAACACTCAACAGATTCAGCAGCTTGTATTTATGTATTTATTAATATGCACATATGTAACAACAACAATTAAAATAGAGGTCATGAATTTGAGAGGGATTGTGGGGGGGGCAGGGATGGAGGAAGGAGAGCAAGGGAGGAAATGATACAATTCTATTTCAATTTAAAAAAGAAGAAAAAAGACATAGCCAGCAGTGGTGGGGAGAGGAGCATGAGAAGATATATGCTCAAGTGCATTTTATACATATATGAAAATGTCATAATGAAGCCCATTATTTTATGTAATTAATATATCTAATAAAACCTGTAAGACTTGCCAGTGTAAGCAGTTTCCATGAGAGACAATCTTGGGATCCTGGGAAGGCTGGTGAAGAAGTTATCCTTCTGGCAGTCACAGGTAAGCCAAGCAAAGGGTTTATGCAGCAGGGTGATGTCTGGGTCCACACTGCTCAGTTAGGCGTCAAAATCAAGGAAGCTATTCATCCTCCAATCCTCTGTCACTAACGGAGTTGGCCACATTTTCCCACTTGTATTGCATTTCATAGGTTAACTACACAGGAAACTGACCCTCAATAGATTCTGAGATGCCAGCCAAACTAATATCTGAAAACTTAACCATGCTTTGAAAAGCTAGATGAGGCTTGGCATGGTGGTATACACCTCCAATCCCAGCATTTTAGAGGCAGAGGCAGGAAGATCTCTGTGAGTTTGAGGCCAGCTTCATCTATGTAGCAGTTCCAGGCCAGCTAGGGATACATAGTGAAACCCTGTATTAAAATTAACCAGCCAGCCAACTAACCAATTAATCAACCAACCAACCAACCAATCAATCAACCAACAAACCAACCAGCCAGCCAGCCAGTCAGCCATCCACCCACCCAACCAACCAGCCAACCAAGCAGCTAACCAACCAGTGAACCAGCCAAATAAACTATAACACAAACCCCCAAATCAGAAAGTGAGATGGTTCACATGCTGACTCTTCCTTAGATGTCTGAGTTAGACTTCCAGTACCAACAACATGCAAGGGTTGACTCTTGCATTAAACAAGGAAGGCACAAGCAAGAAGAGCACAACACATCTTCACCTCACTAGGTGGCCATCACCACCTGGTCAGGCTGGGTATCTCTGTGCAAGAGTTAGCCAGGAACCTCTGTTAGCTTTCTCTCTGCTCCAACCAGCGTGGACCTGAGCAGGTTGCTGATATTCAGTGAAGTATGGTCCATTTACAAGCTGTGTAAGGGACTTTATTCACATTGGCCTTCAGCAGTCATGGTCCTGGGTGCCATGGGGCAGAGCTCTCTGTACTTTAGACATAAGAGAAACAAAATATGAAAATGAAAACAGCATCCGTGTGCTGTGGGATGGTCTGTATGTCAAATCTGTTGCTCTGATTGGTCAATAAATAAAACAGTGATTGGCTAGTGGCCAGGCAGGAAGTATAGGTGGGACTAAAAGAGAGGAGAATTGAGAGAACAGGAAGGTGGGAGGAGACACTGCCAGCCACCACCATGACAAGCAGCATGTGAAGATGCCGGTAAGCCATGAGCCACATGGCAAGGTATGGATTTATAGAAATAAATTAATTTAAGATATAAGAACAGTTAGCAAGAAGCTTGCCACGGCCCTACAGTTTGTAAGCAATATAAGTCTCTGGGTTTACTTGGTTGGGTCTGAGCAGCTGTGGGACTTGTGGGTGACAGAGATTTGTTCTGACTGTGGGCCAGGCAGGAAAACTCTAGCTCCATCCGTGACCTAGGCATTCTTGCCAGGCCGATGTGTAGCCAGAAAATCCAAGAAATAAGACGTAAAAAGAACTTTTGAAAGAAGCCACGTCTGAAGAAGAAGCACACATTTGGCATCAGTGTGCTTTGACTAATTCTGTGACTCACTAACTTGAAGTGGCTGCCTCCTGAAAGAGGTGACAGTCACATCTGTGGATTCGTCAAATGTCAGAATTTTAGATAATTGAAAAATACGGAGACTGTTTCTTTTTAAAGCTCTCCAGAAGGATTCTTAAAGGAAAGAATAAAGTAATAGATCGAGATAGTCCAAGTTTTAGTTACACAGAAATCAGGACCTAAGACACAGGCTTGTCATTGAAGCTTGTAGGAATGCGATCCTAGAGAGCTGGGTTTCAGGAAGGCAGTCAGGCCAAACTGGGTTATTGAACTGCCAGCTGCTACAGCTACTTTACTCATCTCGGAGTCCCGAGGCACTCTATGGAGTGTCTGCCCGAAAGACCAAGACAGAAGCATGAATCCACTAGCTTCCCTGCCTCGCCGTGGATCAAGATGATCTCAGGGGAATTAACTCTGTTGGTCACATGTGTTGAGGAAAGAGTACATTTGAGTGGTTGCTCCAAGCTGCAGCATCGGAGACACCCTGGGCAGGAAGTAAGAATAAGCCACGAAGACTGAGGTGAGACACATGATCTGACTGCTCCTGCAGAGGGGGCCAACACAGAAGACACACTTCTGCAGTGGTGGTTTGGAGATGGAGGTGAGGTGTGGAACAACGTCTGTGTTCACTGTACTGTGGGTGTGGGGTCAGGGGATGGCAGGTGTATGATGCATGGGCACACGTGCTGCTAGGCTCTTTCCCTCCACAGATGCCCACACTTCCTACAATATGAGAATATCGTCTTCTCCCCCGATCCCTGCCTTGTGTTGAACCCAACACCTTGCACATGCATCCCAAGCCCTGAAAATATCTTGTCTATATTAAAAGATTGTTTTCATAAAAATTAAACCACAATGACCTCGGAGAGTTATGTGTTGAAATTTAAATTTGCACCCAGATAAGAATGATAGATGTATTTATTCCCTCGCAAAGCAGGCTTTGGAAGAGGAAGAAGGATGTATGCAATTGTCAGAGTCTAATGTGATTGGGAATCACATTTTCAAGCCTTTAGATTTTTTCATTATTGGCTTTGCTTTGCATAGTACCTATCATCTTTGAGGCTGTCCTGGAGTGTCCCCACCCCCGCCAGGGGTAGCTTTTCCCCTAGTCATTCTCCATTGGCTTTTGCCACAAGGAATCTGATATGAGGCAAGAACTCAGCAAATATTCAAGTAAATATTTATGGAATGATATGAATAAATAGAGTTAAAAATAGAACATTTTCTTATTCTACTCTTGGAGTAGATACACAAACAAAGCAGAATGGATTTTGCATAGATTGAATGTCACCCTTCTGACCTCACCAATCAAGTTCAGCACTGGCATCTGTGCTTTTCCAGACCACCCCGAGCATTCAGCTGTGGTAGCTTTTATTCTTGGTTTTATTAATGCCACTCTTGCTAGAGTGTGGGCTTCTCAAGGGCAGGGGCCACTTCTTATTAATCTTTCTGGGGATCTGGGGAAAGCTCTATGCCCAGAAACATCGAATCAATTAGATTCTACTGTAGACTCTCCATGACATCCTCAATCACACCAGCATAGCGAAGAAAAATCAGCTGCAGAGTGAATAGCTAAGGGGACACTTTTGGCATCTGACACATTCTAAGCAGCTGTGGGTGAGTCATGGAATTCATCCCTGCCTCAGTTTCCCTAAGTCAAAAATGAGAGCTGAATTAAGGTTTAAGTGGGTCATCATTCTGCTTTCTGTGTCTTGACATTTTTAATGGGTGAGAGACACTTTTCCACAGTTGGGCCATGCATGGCTTTAGAATTCTTCATTTACTTCAGTCAGGCCCTACTAATGCACTGGGAGGATTTCTTAAAACATAAATCTGCAATGTCACGACTTTCTCCAAACCCTCAGAAGTACTCTGATTCCAGTAGCAAGGTGAGATCCCTGGAAGAACTTGGACTGTTTATGAATGTGAGCTGTGTCACACCACCAAGGTCAACTGAGGAGCGTAGGAAGGAGGAGAAATGTGCCCAGTGCCAGAGCAGAGCGAGTGGAAAAGCACAGGTGAGCTGATGCCTCGGTCCCCAGAGGAAGAGGGCACTGAGGGTCGAGCGCGGTAGTCGCCGGGTCATCAAAGGTTTAATCAGTGAGAGGCTGGGAAACACTGTCTTGGGTATGGATGAGGCAGAAAGTTGGGATTGAACACTGAGACAGGCTTTTGAAGAACATCTATACAAAAGCAAGGAAACAGAACTTGCCTACATTCTATCAACACCTCCGTCAACTGATGGATGGATGGATAATGGAAGTGTGGTAATGTGCATAATTGAATTTTATTCAGCCATAAAGAAAAACAAAATTAAGAACTTTACAGGAATGTGGGCACAGTGGTACATACCTTTAATCCCAGAAGTTGGGAGACAGAGCCAGTAGATCTCCATGAGTTCAAGGAGCTATACAGTAAGATCCTTTCTTAAAACAAAACAAAGCAAACAAACAAAAAAGAAATTCCAAAATACTCTGTTGGAAAATGAATGGAAGTTGAAAATATTATATTGTGAACTAACCTTGGCACAGCAAGACAAATGTTCATGTTCTCTTTCATATGCCGCATCTAACTTTTCGTTTTATGGATGTGCAGTACGTGGGAATGAGTGTCGGTGTTGGTCACAGCACTAGAAAGAGGATGCTGAGATGGAGAGGAGGTCTTAAGGAAGGGCTGGGAAGGGTTACAGGACACATGTGACATGAGAGGAGAAAGGGGGTGCTGGCCGGGGCAGAAGGAAACAAATAGGAAGGGGAGACGGGGCTGGGGAGGGAGGGAGAGCCCCCCCAAACCAATGTATAAAGGAGTGGGAAGGAAGCCTGTCACTTTGTATCCTAACTAAAAAATAAAACTAAAAAGTCAAACCAAACGAATGATAAGTTAGTGGGTGAATCATGATACAGCAGCTATAGATGTGGTTTATTCAGCTGAATTTCAGCTGCTTAATGTTGAATAAAATAAAGGCTTATTTTAGAAGGATGTGTGGTGTGAGTCTATTAACAGTAACTTCATTTTTATTTTTACTCTTTAAAATACATAGACTTTGTATTATAAAAGTTATTATTAATCAAAATTGTCCTTTGATAATTTCATGCATATATGTAATGCATTCTAATTACTCCCAGCCCCAGTCTCTCTTATCTCCCTCGGGCCCTGGCAACCCCCTTCCTCCCCAGAACCCTCTCTGCAGCAGTTAGGCTCACACCAGCCTTGCAACCACAGCTGCTGTAATTGTGAATTGCATTTATTACCTAAGATATCAAAATAAGAAATGTTAATAATCCTGGCAATTTATGCAAAAGTGAGATTAATTGTAGAATCTCAAGTAGTTTGTCAAATACTGTAAGTTACTAAGTGATGTCAAGACTACTTTCGGAATAGAGTTTTCAAACTGAACTCTGTTTTGTACCTATACCTTAAGACCTCTATGTGCAAAGGAATAATAGCCATGTGTTTTTCTTTACAAGTTTTATATTTTCATGTTTATTTTGGGACAATCTTACTATGTGTCTTTGGCTGTCCTGGACCCCTCTATGTAGACCAGGGTGGCCTTGAACTCACAGAGATTTGCCTGCCTCTGCCTCCTGAGTTCTGGTATTAAAGGCATGCAGCACTAAAGTGGGGATTTAACAAGGCAACTCCACGTAGTTTATCTGGTAGTTAAAAGGAGGTATATTTGGGGGTAACTTACAGCCAGTAAAGGAGTTGGTTACAGGATCAGGAGAGGTGAGGTGCAGTCCAGTGGGGTTCTCTGGAGAACTCTGACTTGGTCTGCAGTCCAGCATCCAGGGTCACAAAGAACCAAGAGGGCTGGCACTTATGGATCTCGAGTCTTAAGGGGTCCCATCTCAGTCGCACCCCAGGGGCAGTTTGTAGGTAGGCGTGGCAGTTACCAGCTGCCTCACTAGGAGCAATGCTTCAAGGTCAAAGCTGGAACAGCTACCCACTACACAACACCATACTCAGCTAATATTTTCGTACTGCCCTTTGCTTCAGCTTGAAAACATCCTTTTAGCATTTCTTTAAAGGCAGGTTTTGTGATTGATAATGAATTCCTGAAGATTTTATTTGCCAAATTCTCTATTCATTTCTGTATTAGTCAGGGTTCTCTAGCGGAACAGAATTTATAGAATGAATCTCTCTATATAGAAAAGGTTCACTAGAATAGCTTAAAGACTATGGTCCAACTAATTCAACAATGACTGTCTTGAATGAGAAGTCCAAGAACCCAGTGGTTGTTCAGTCCACAAGGCTGAATGTCTCAGCTGGTCTTCAGTATATACTGGAATCCCAAAGAAGAAGGCTCTGATGCCTGTGAAGGAATGGACTTGCTATCAAGAGTGAAAACAAGCCGGGTGGTGGTGGTGAACGCCTTTAATCCCAGCACTCGGGAGGCAGAGTCAGGTGGATCTCTGTGAGTTAAGAGGTCAGCCTGGTCTCCAAAGCGAGTTCCAGGAAAGGTGCAAAGCTACACAGAGAAACCCTGTCTCGGAAAACCAAAAAAAAAAAAAAAAAAAAAAGTGAAAACAAGTAGGCAAAGAGAGAGCAAGCTTCCTTCTTCCATGACCTTTATATAGTATGCCAGCCCAGAAGATGTGACCCAGACTAGAGGTGGGTCTTCTCACCTCAAAAGATCTGGATTAAAGGTTGATCATTCACTTCTCAAAGATTTGAATTAGAAATGAGTCTTTCCACTTCAAGTGATTTAATTAAAACAAAAGTCCTCACAGTTATGCCCCATCATTTGAGTTTTAGTTAATTCTAGATGTAGTCAAGTTGACAACCAAGAACAGCCATCACAGTTTCTGAAGCACAAAATTTTGTCAGATAGTATTATTCTCAACACATAGCTTTCTTTGCAGAACTTTGAATGTATCATTCCTCACTCTTGGCCTACAAGATGTCGGCTGAGAAATCTCTAGATAGCCTCGTGGGGGTCCCCTTGTACGTAACAAGTCACTTTCCCCTTGTTTCAAAAATTCTTTTTTTGAATATTTGACTATGCTGTATCTTGGTGAGAATCTCTTTATCTTTAATATTTGACATTCTCTGTCTTCATGGATCTGTACGTTCATTTCCCTCTCTGGAGCAGGGAAGTTTTCTGTCATTACTTATCTAAATAACCTTTGTGTTTTTCTGCTTTCTTTGGATGCCACATGTGATTTTTGGTTTGTTTGGTGGGTTTCCTGTAATGTCTGTAGGCTCTTTTCCACTTGTTTTCATTCTTTCTATGTCCTGAGTAATTTCAGAACGATCTGTCTTTGAAGTCATTGACCCCTGTCCTTGATAGAGCGTGTTCCTGCAGCTAAATATAGGATTTTTAAGTTCAGTTCTTTCATTCTTTAGTTCTGGATTTTAATTTGGTTCTTTTCAATGGTTTCTATCCCTTCATTGAGCTCTTCTTGTTCATGTGCTGTTTCTCTGATTTCCTTAGTTGTCTGTGGGTTCCAGAAGACAATTATTTTGTATTTCTTGTAGGAAGCTCATAAATTTCTGTCTGGCATCAGTTACTGGTGTCTTCTGTTTATTTCACTCATTTAGTGGTGAGGGTCCCCCCCCCCAACAAATTGTGGCTTATTCATTGAACCAAATGTTACTCAGCAATGAGAAAGGACCAATGACATGTGGAGAGGGTAGTAAGGGGGTAATTTGGAGGTGAGAATGCTCAAAATGCATTGTATGAAATTCTTTTTTTTTTGTTGTTTTAATTCTTTTAGCTTTTATTGATTCTCATATCACGCATTCTGATCCCACTTATCTCCTGTCCCCTTGCATCCATTCTCTGCCCTTGTAATCTCCCTCACCCCAAACAAACAAAATTTAAAAGAAAAACCAAACAACCAAAACAAACAAACAAATAAATAAAAAGGAGAAGAATCTTGTCCTGGAAGCTGTAGTCACACAGCTTACCCTTCAGTCCATTCATCTTTACTTGCAAGGTAGTTGCCAGGGGTCATTGATCTGGCTTGAGGCCTCTGGGTTCTGCTACTACACCACCAATAATGGGCTCTCACTGGGGCTCCTCTTGGACATACTGTTGTCTTGTGTCATGGAGATCCCATAGCTTTGGATCTGTAAGACTGGCCCCTTCACATGCTCCAGCAGTTCATAGATGAGGTGGGTGTTGGGGTGGGCTAACTCATAGTTCTGGTTCTGGACCTGGATGGTAGCTGGGTTGGTCAGCCCACCAGCTTTCCCTCATTATCCCTACCTGGGCGAGCTCTCCAGCACTGCCTGGGCTGCACCCAATGCAGCCTGCAGCAAGGAGCAGGGCCAGTTCTCCAGCTTTCAGGTCCTCAGATCTCCACCCTCACTCACACCACCAGGACCAGCTCTGCTGTTTTGCTCAGGTGAAGTGCAGGGCCCTCTCTCCTGATAGCTGCAGGGGGCATATGAGGCGGGGGGGGGGGCAAGGTCAGCTCTCCTGCTCTCACACACTCAGGGCTGGCTCACCTGCTCCCCCCACAACAGGGTCAGTTCTAGTGTGCTGCCCAGGCGGGGTGCAGGACCTGCTGTCCTGTGTGCTGCAGCTGGTGAGGTCAGGACTAGCTCTCCCGCTCTCATGACCCCAGAGCCAGCTCTCTCCCCTGCCACAGCTAAGTGGGAGTAAGGGGGGAAAGGACATCTTTCTCTCACCCATGCCACCACATGGAGGAGGATGTGGTCGGGGTCAGCTCTCCTGCTCTCATGTGCTCATGCTCACCTGCATCCCTGACCACAGGGTCAGCTCTAGTGTGCTGTCCAGGTGAGGTGCATGCCTATGGTGAGGGGTGGGGTCATCTTTCCTGAGTAGGGAACCAGCTCTCCTACTGCAGTATCCAGCAAGGGGCAAAGGTCACTTAAGGGTGGGGCTGGCTCGGCACAACACGGTTCCAATGATCCCCCTGTGCTAATGTGGGCCGTGGACATCATCACAGACCCCAGCTGCAGTGGGACCATGGGCCTGGACATGCTCTTGGCAGCAGCTTGGGCCCAGACATCACCATGGCCCAAGTGGCAGCACAGGCCACCCAGATCA